TACCCACGTCTAAACAAAACAATATAGACATCCCAATAAGTAATAATAGTATGGGTTTTTTTGTTAACATTCAATAAACAGAAAATATCAAGATAAAGAACATTGTTTGCTTGGCTGCTTATTTATCCATCACAATTGCATACTAATTGCAGAATGTTACGCGCAAAAGTAGTTGTGGAGTAGCTTTGTACGCGGCCAGTCACGGCAAACTTTATCGTTGTAGTAATCCTGCCGTTATTTCATCTCGTGAAGACTTTTTTTTTTAAATTTAAAACTTTTTTTTTCCATCGAACAGTGCACCCACCCTGTCGTTAAATTTCCCTCCACATTTAGAAACCCTCCACACGTGGGGAGCACGCGTTGAGATGATTTATCCGCAAAAAATGTCCGCGTGATAAGTCCACTTTGTTGAGCTATCATTTGTGGCCAGATCATGAAACATGGACATCAGTGGCAAACAAAATGGGAACCAAAAAATTGAAAAGTAGCGTGGATGCATTTTTTTACTTGCATTGAGAGACAGAAAGAGGGACACATTGGACCATTGTAAGAAATTTAGCGACATATTGACTGTGAATAAAAGTTAGTGGGTTTTGGCAGGGTATTCTACTATCAGTGGGCGATCCAAACAACTGGCAGCCAAAGGAGGAAACGTCCGAGATGACATCCACCGTCGAGGTATATTGATAAAAGCAGCTTGCGTGTGTGTATGTTGTTGAACTTCTTTCGTACGGATGTATGTACGTTGAAACTCCTTTTGCGCACCGTGCTTAGCCAATCGGGCTAATCGGAGGTGCGGGGAGGCGGATTGTTACATGGTGGGAGCGTGAAGGATGGCGACAGCTTTACGAGTCCTTCATGCAGCAGTGGATTGATCATGGCTGCTCATTATCATAACGATGGTTCTTCTGCATTACAGTTCACACACATTGTGATCATGGCTATCTATTACATGTAGCGTTCGAATTCCACCCATTCCCACCTTGAGTGCAAGCAGCGGGGGTCTCCACCAAGGGCATGGTGTGACCAGGTTTTTGCTGTCTGCAGGGAGCATTCAGGCTTCCTGTTGGACACAGCCGCTCCCATTGTATCTCGGACACTGGGAGGGAGTCCAGTTCTTGGGTACCCACCCTGTTCCAAAAGAATGTGCAAGGAACATGGGCGTTTGACCCGAGAACAAAGCGAGTCCCTGCACACTGTGGCCCGGAGACTACCTGGGGTGCCGTGGCGCAGCAGCCCTCTCTGTCCAGGAGCCAACCGCGTTGAACTGACAGGGCGAGTGCCCAGGACCGGTCAAAACGTCACTCCCCACTGATATGAGTTGTGGCCGGTAGTGGAATTCATAACGCTTGGTTAATAGCGCAGTACTCAAACAACTGCAGCACTGCTTTTCCTCGCAACCATATTGCCGATGACCAAATCACCCTGAATGTACCCAATTTCAGTAGATAATCTGAAGGCATGTAACCATACATATGTTTTTTTTTATTTAAATAGAAACTCGCACTCAACATGCCCATGAGAATCGGTTATTCCGATTCGCAAAAATTGTACGGAGATGGAGTTAAGTTTTTATGTCAACTGAGAGAACAATACACTGGGAACAAGATGGATGAAAGGCATTTGTACGATTTTTTTGTAGTCTTCAACTTTATTATGACCCCAAATTTAGACGATTCATCAACTCACTCGGGGGTGGTGGGGGGGGTGAGCTCTTGGATAGGAGAGATTGCCTGGGAAAACCTGGTGTTGTAGGCCAGACAGGAACGGCAGCATAGCAATGGATTATACTGAACCTCTACAGAAAGTGCGATCGGTGGCGCAGTAGTTGCTATATTGCGCCATGAACCCCCGCTGACCCTGAGTTGAATCTTGGCGATGGCTGATATCAGTGGCGAGTATCAACCTGAACCGGTCCTGGGACCACCCCACCTTCCACCCACTTTAATCAGCGTGGTGAAGTATTGTTAAATATACCCCCTTGGCTTACACATCATTGGGAAGACCTTCATGCAACAGTTGATTGACAAGGGGCTGTAAATGATAACATGTTGTATTATCTTCGTTACATTGCTTGCTGCCTGGAGTGGAGCACTGTCGATGTTAGACAATCTGTGTCAGATGTAAAGTCGGTCTAATCCCTAGTTGTGCCTGGTCAGGGTCACGTCGGGTATTGGTAACAGATTTCTCTGGCGAGAGAGGTCCGTGTAATCGTACGCGCTGGGTTATTTTTATAGCGTGAGAATGCGGCGGTGGTGGCGGCAGTACTTCTGGGAGCAGTGGTGCTTCTCGTGGCGGTAGGGGCATTGATTATGGGTCGGTGTTAATGCCCCGAACTGCTGTTTTGTGTAAATAGCCAACAGCTGTTGAAACTGCTGCAAATTGCCTGTGCTTGTGGAGGGCACCTTACCGATCCAGGAATTGTACATATGACGGCGGTGTCATGATTAAAAGCACATGACTACTTGCACGTTGAGATCTGAGGCACGGCGACAATAAGTCGTGCTTTTCCTCCCACGTATCATTTTTGTTTTGGTCTTTAAAATTATCATAAGCAACCGCTGTCTTATCCACTGACGGATGAAGGTCTCCCCACACATGCCGCTGCGATCCATCGTGCGTGACCTGATCTTATCGCTCCATCTCATCTGTGGTCGTCCTCTTGGATGCACTCCATCCTTTGGCTGACACTCCGTCGCCAGTCTCACTCATTGGCCATCATCCCATCTTGCAATGTGTGCTGCTCAAGCCCACTCGTGTATATATACGTATTTTGGCAACAAGCATATGTAAAATATTATATTGCCTATTAGTCAGAATCATATGTTTATTTAATCATCAATTAATTATCTGTAAAAAGTGCCTTTTGACAGTATGGTTGCATGCCAAGTTCTCTCCCGCCAATGGAGCATGCTGATAAATTATTCCATAAACAGTGATGGCCAAACATTATTTCGCGGACTGTTTATTCAGAGTTTACAAATGTAATTTGAATGTTCTGAAATACGGGCAGTTCTTTGAATGCTTTAATTATGCCTTGAGATTGGGATGCATGTGAACTGGAACACTGAATCCAGAACATGTTGTAAACAAATTATGATCATTATTAGCAGCTTCCAACCTAGCTGAACCAAGTAACATGCAAATGAAACTTCGTTCGGTATGCTAATACAAAGTTGATGCTACCTATAATTGCAAAACATTTACATTTTACAGGCCTTTGTCAATCCACTGCTGAATGTAAGCATGATGAGATTTGTTTGGCTGTACTTGACGCGAGTCCGTATCAGTTGGTGAATGGGATGTCCTGTGCAAATATTGCTCGCAGAGTTCAAAGTACAGTGTGTTCACCAATGCACCCATCACTCCTCAATATACCACATATGCCTAGTGTGCATGCTTGTTTACATGTTAAAAAGGCAGTGAAATATTGGTAATGCACTGATAATGACATTGACATTTTTCAAACTAAATACTGCCGTGCTATTTTTTTTGGGTTTCTTACTGATGGAAGTGGCTGCATTTTAATATCAAAGTATTCTTTTATGCCATTATTCACGGAGAAGCATCCAAAATGTTTCGGACTCAACTTTCCGTAGCCATGGAACATCAGCCACACACATTAATAAAAAAAACAGATGATGCAAGATTTCAGGATGTTTTGACAGTGGAAGTCACACGGGGGGGGGGGGGGGGGCGGTGGGGGGAGAGTCGAGAGACAAGCACAAAGGGGAAGCAAGTTTTTAATATTTGTTATCAGTAATATGCAGCACTTTTTCAATCCACTGCTGGATGAGGGCCTCGTCATCCATGCCATGTCGGTCATGGAGATTGCTTGAGCATACCTCAACCACGCCGGTGTCAGTGCGGGTTTGTGGAAAGAAGGGAGTGCCCAGGATCGGCTCGGATATCACTCGCCACTGGTGTTAGCCCTGGCCAGGAATCACACTTGGGAAAAACTGTGTTCATAACGCAGTGCACTGATCGCTGCGACACCGCTGCGACCCACCACCACTGCCACCCCAATCGCAGAATTAGCTCGGCAAAAACATTTGCGGGGCGTCTAAAATGAGTGTTTCTGAAAATAAAATGAAACGTAGAAATTTGCAGTAATTCCTTGGTAGTCAAGTTCATTGTCATGGGCAGGAGTAGCGAGAGGTCAAGGCTTTGTTTTCAGGCTTCACATTAGGACAGGCAAGTGTGTGTTTTTTTTTTGCTCTTCACTCACCAACTGGATGCCGGAAACACCCTTTAAACATCCACTCTATATAAAAAAAAAAGGGCATCATCTGCCCAAAAGTGGGTCTTACGCGCAGCCTATGTTGGGAGTATTTTTTTCGTCGGATGATAATGTTTTTTTTTTTACTCAAAGTCACGTCCTACTCTGCCAGAATGCGTTTTTGCTTATCCTTATGTGCGTGTGTAAGAAAAACAGAGCGATACGCGCTTACTCTATTGATAGGGGGTGTGGGATCGCTGTTGTGGGCTAAGGAGTCACAGGAAGAATAATGGAGAGTTTGACGTATCATCTGAACGTTTTAACAACAATGCAGGATGGCTGCAAATCTCATCGCAACTCCTGTCGCATTGGCCTTTTAGAGAATTTATAGTCGACACAATGAAGTTATTTTGTAGCCTCGTCATGTTCCATACATGGGTCTGGAATGTGATTTCACTAACTGCATAGTCTGTCATTCTAAAAAACACATTCCTTCATGAAAAAAAATGTGTTCATCGGTTATGCATAATAGAAGTGGGTTTTTTTCGGTTAGATTGCGTAAATATAAATGTGTCGTTGAACCTGCCACCACCCAACTCAGCCAATAAGTAAAGTTCATCACGGAAACAAAACATGTCTATTAGTTATGAGTTCAGCACACCGGTGTAGTAACTAATATGCATGTTTTGCTTAATTGGCTGTATCGGGTGGTGGTGGGTTTTAGCGACACATTATATTAACGAGACCTAACTCAAAAAAATGTCTCGCCCTGTGCGCACAGGGATCTGAAGCTGGACAACATCTTGCTCGACGCAGACGGACACTGCAAGCTCGCCGACTTCGGCATGTGCAAGGAGGGCATCCTCAACGGCATCACCACCTCCACCTTCTGCGGAACGCCCGACTACATCGCCCCAGAGGTACGGTCAATCCCCGTGCCTCTTGTGTTTTTACCTTCCGTGCGCTGCTGGAGGTGACACACGGCAAGTTATGTTGCCAAACTGGCAGGATGGAGTTTGGGAAATCTTAATAATGATAATGATGTTTTATTTGCCCACAAAAAGCCTTGCTAAGTCTCAGGACACTTTATTTGTTTGTAGGTTACTGCTGCATTGAGATTTTAGGCCAACTTCATTTTGTAAGTGTTTTTCGTGAGGGAGGAAATTGAAGTACATGGAGGAAGAGCCACCACGCATAGAGAGGATAACATTCCAAGCTCAAAACAGATTGAATCAAGAACACAAGCTGCCCTGTCATATTTTGGCTACATCACAGGCCATTGGGTTTAGGAGTTCATGAATTTATATTTCATCCAGAAATCCTTTCCTCCAAAGCGCTGGTTCACAGGCGTACACGGACAATACAAATGAGGCTCAACAGAATTGCTTCTTAAACCCACTCCAATTCGTTGTGAAAAGTCATAGAAATCACAAAGGAGAGAGAGGGCGTTACATGCCTCATTATCATCATCAGCCGTGATCAATCCAATCCACTGTTGGCTAAAGGCTTCCCCAAGCCATCGCCGCCCCCAACTCCAATTATCCTACAATCCTGAAATCCAAGCCGATATCATCGCCCCAACTGCTCGGTAGATATGCCCAATGATATCATGGGACCTTTTTTGTTTGCATGTTCACCACAAGTATGTGTGGCCAATGCATACTTACTTGACTCCTTGCAAAAGGAATCTGTTTAGTGTTTGAACATCTTAACACCTCTTTTATTGCCAGAAAGCGTAAAACCTATTCTTATTTTACATGCCCAAATTATATTCTTGGTTCTTTTGGTAAAGTCACGTAGAATGGAAATAATAAAATAATAAAAATTAAACAATAAAATTCTCACGACGTTTCGATTGCAACACAAGCAATCGTCATCAGGTGTGGAAACCACAGCAAGAAAATTTGAAAAAAGTGGCGGTTTTTGCTTAAAATGCCCAAATGAGTTTCGGCGAGAGTTGAGCTGCCTAACTCTAACCCTGATAATACCTAACCGCATCAGCTGCTATATAACCCAGATGTCTGTCGTGAATTTTGCCGCGGTCCGGAGCACCTGCATGCAAACCCAACATTCGGCAAAACCGTTTCCATGCAGGTTCCGCCTGTTGGCTGCCACAAGGGAGCAAATGCGCCGCGTCATCTTTTCGCGCTGCTTTTTCACTCCACGTCGAGATTATGTTTCCCTTGACCCCTTCTCCTCTCGGAGGGCCACGACGGACGCCGGCAAATGCTCGTGAACATCCGCACGGCCGTGCGTCCTCCAGCGCCTGCGTTGGGTTAAACAGATAGCGTGACAAGGCCCTGGCCCTCTGCACGGGTGCCTTTGCACACAAAGACAAAGATCCCCCGTATAGCAACCAACAGGCAGTTGGGGCAAGTGCTGATAGCGAGAGCCTATGAAGGCCGGCACTGTGGCACACGAGGTAGGGATGGGTTGGCCAGTACCGTTGCCCGGCTGGCTTTGTCTCCCCGGTGGTGATGTTTACACGCCACATCAGGTATTAATTTGAATATACATATATTGGCAATAAGCATGTGTCAAATATTATATTACACCCAACGCCGACCCTCGCCAAATAGGTGAGCTTGCTTCGAGTAAAGGTTGGCTCCCGAGCTTGTAATTCGAAGCCCTCTCTCGTGCTGATGCATATCCACCCGCGCCGCCTCCTCCCGTTTTCTCGATCCTCGTAGCGAGATTAGGCATCGGGTACACCACGTGTCATCGTTGTGCTTTTATGCAAGCGTCGTGCGCATGTTGTGTGCCGTCTCGGATAACAACCACTGTGGATTAACCGCCCGGCAACGTGTACCCCATTTAAGGCCTCGTATCCACTTACGCCGTCGGTTAAGGTTCGAGTGGTAAGAGAAAATGTTTTGATTTTCTCATTCGTGCATTAAGTGCATTACGCACTTTTTTTTTAGAAGCGAAAAGTGCTTGTCGCAGCACGTTGTGAGATTATGTTATTGAAGATTAGTTTGTGTGCATTTGGTTGTGAGGTTAAGGAGTTCAAATTTCTAAAGTTTATAAACTGTGTAAGCAAATGTATGCCGTAAATTAGAAATGGTACACATGGCATTGATTCAGTTTGCTTACTGTCTAAAACATTTCTCAACAAATTGAAATGATTCTCTATATTCTATAGAATTAAACAACTCGTTTTTGTAATCTTAAATTGCCTGTTGCCTGTTTGTAAAAAAAAAAAATCCCTTTGATTACAACGGTGTGATTAAACCCGAATTGAAAAGTTCACTTGAGAGATTCATGCAACCAACACTAGATCGCGCTTGTCACAGTGGACCGTTAACTCTCTCGCTCACAGATCCTGCAGGAGCTGGACTATGGCCCGTCCGTGGACTGGTGGGCCCTGGGGGTGCTCATGTACGAGATGATGGCCGGGCAGCCGCCCTTCGAGGCCGACAACGAGGACGACCTCTTCGAGTCGATCCTGCACGACGATGTCCTCTACCCCGTGTGGCTCAGCAAGGAGGCCGTGTCCATCTTGCGCGACGTGCGTAACAGCCCGGCCCAGCGTCCCGTTATACCGCGTCCCGGCTTCTGTCCCGTGCGCCCCATAGTCAATCGAAGCTGCCGATCGGCACCACGAGCTCAACTCGTCGCGCACCGATGCCTCGTCGTTTTGTTTCTCGTGGTCATGCCTCGAACCCGTGTGTATAACGAATGCGTATGTTGAACTTCTTTCGCACCGTATGTAGCCAACCGTGCTAATCGGAGGTGCGGGGGAAGGACAACAAATACAAAAAGCTATTTTAAAGAAATTCGATTTCAATCCATATTTAAAAGTGAATAGCTCAACAGTTGCGTCCTAATATCGGAAGGCAGAGTGTTCCAGACGGCCTGAGAAGCACATCTGAAAGTGGTCGATGACGTGATCATCTTTGTTCGATGGCTAGCCAAATGCCGCGTTCAGGATGTTCATAGTTCGAATAAACAGAGCACTGCACGTCGGTAGTAGCACACATGGCATCACAAGATTATTATTCTGCATACGTATACGCAGAATAATAATCTCACCCGTAGAATAACTCGTATTTATCCGCATCATTGCGTACTGTGCAAAGTTTCACAGTGGCGAGTTTTCAACATCCTCTTAAATCGCGATACGTTTTCCCGGATAATCGCTGTGATCAGGGAGCAGATTCAACAGCTGCAGTCCCCTGTAGCTATCCTTAGGTTGGCAAGTGGTGGCAGCAATATGGTCGTGGCGAGCCGCCAATTGTAAATTTCACACGTGGCTTTGGGAGATGCGTCTGAGAGGCAAAAGTGTATTTTTTTCTGTTGCTTTCTTCCACGTATCTACCTTCGTGCTTGTTGAACAATGCCAGTTTTATGAGTGACTTTCTGTACATGAAATTGTTTGGAACATTTTCTTTTGGTCACGCAGGGCACGTGCATAGCCTTGCTTAAAAACACAACCCAAAACGGTGATTACACGTGCGGGTTATTGGGGGCTTTAAACATTCAACGCCTCTGCCAAAGTGGACGAGAAAATCTCGACTATATTGAATTTGTTTGCACACCGTCCCCATCTGCGCGTGCAGTTCATGACCAAGAACCCAAATAAGCGGCTGGGCTGCGTGGTGACTCAGGGGGGAGAGGAGGCCATCAAGCGCCACTCGTTCTTCCGCGAGATCGACTGGGATCTCCTTGAGCAGCGCAAGATCCGCCCGCCCTTCAAGCCCCGCATCGTACGTACACTCCACCGCACCACAACAACGCTCCCACCACACCGATAACAATGTCCCAATGCATCGACAACAACGCCCACCATACCGACAACACCGCCCACCACACCACAAGAACGCCCCATCACACAAACAACAATGACCCACCACACCAAAAACAATGCCCACCGCACCAAAAAACAATGCCCACCGCATCAACAACAACGTCCAACACACCACCAACAACAACCCACCACACCACCAACAACAACCCCCACGGCACCAACAACAACGCCCACCGGCTTTTGATGACGCGCATTGTTGTTTTTATTCAGGAACATGTTTTTTTTTTGTTATCCGGATTGCGCTTATCGGTGTCATGGCCATGAAGCTATCCATTCGTGTTTGAAAATGACACGCGGAATCTTGATATCGCAGAGCCACATCTGAGACCCCCTTTGAGTAAACTCTGGTCTACCAGAGCAGAGAGGGCAGTGCTCCCCCTCCCATAGGTAGGAGTAACGCCCGTCACGTCACGGCCCATCCGATATTTAAATTCTCAGAAGCTGGAACTTGGCACAGCTTAAGTGCGGAATCAAATTTAGCATCGTGGTTTTTCTCTGTCGCTGCCCCATTGGTCACTGGGCGGGGAGACCGTCGTATCACTTGGCGTGAAAACTCGGTCTAATCACAGGTGACTGCCCGGATTATAAGCCCTCGGGATCTCGGTGATGCGGGGCTTGGTCCTCTGACCTCCGAGCCTCCCGGCCAGCTCGTTGACGCACTCCGTTATTAAAGCGTGGCCCCGTGCTGATCTCGGCGCTTGGCAATTTCGCATGTTGGTGGTTTTCTTTGATCGGACTGTTGGGTGGGGTGCGGTCTAGAAAGGACACGCTTGGGCCTTGTTGATTAAAGCACCGGCCAGGGGTGAGAAGAGGCTAAATTAGTATCTGTGGAAGGACAAGCAGGATTATCTCACTCAAGCAGCCCCGTGTGGTGTTTTTTCGGTTTAGCAGTCTCACTTTACCTGCTCTACATCATCCGTGTTCCGCACCCCACGGATGCAAATGCGCGCGGAGTGACCAAACGAGCTGGCCTGGTGGGCGCAGCTGGTGTCATTGTTATTGATTGATGAAGAAGCAAACAAAAAATTGTTTGCGCATTTCGCATACCTACGTTTTGCGGCACGTGACGGCCGCGGCCAGCTTGGGAAATACTAATTTTACACCCGCCCAGGGGCAATGGAGAAATGAACTGGCTCTCGGTTAATCACCCTGTCCTGCAGCCTTGACAATTCCTCACGCGTCCTACCGTCCCGCCGCGGGTCACGTGCAATTAATAGTCGCTTCTCTCCTCCTGCCCTGCTCCAACCTCGAGTGGTTCTCATCCCCACCCGCCACCTCCCCCCTCTCCTGCCACCGTCTCTCTCACCGACCCACCCACCCACCCGCCTGCAGAAAACCAAGAGGGACGTGAACAACTTCGACCAGGACTTCACGCGCGAGGAGCCGCTGCTGACGCCGGTGGACAGCAGCGTCGTGAAGCAGATCAACCAGGACGAGTTCCGCGGCTTCTCCTTCTCGGAGGACGACGCCCAGTGACCGTCGACTTGCCAGCGACGTGGCGCGGAATCACTCGGTTGCCCGTCCGCTTGCTCGCTCGCTCGCTCCCTCCCTCCCCCATCGCTCAAGCGAGGTGGCGTCTGCTCACTGACAGACGTGACGGTGTTGAGATCTTATTTATTTGCAGCAAACAAAAAGTTAGCGGGAATCGCAGTGAAATTGAACCCGGGTTGTTGACGGGCAGTTAGCCGGGCGGGGCACGCGAGAGCTCTTCAAGTTGGAGGTGTGTTACTTGCTACCGGAGTCCTTAACGATTCTCGTTAAAAAAAATTATTTGCTCGCTATAAAAGTAATATTGCTGATGCAGCGACAAAAGAATACTAATTATTTATTCTTTACTCCTGTCCGTAGACCGTGTAAGCGTCTACCTTTGCACGGAAAACAAAACAAAAAACGGACGACGGCTCTGTTACTGATGTGCGCGACTCAAAACGCTCCAATGTGTTTGCGTGAAACGTTCCGAGGGGGGCGTTCTGTTTTCCCTCACAGTTATTTTAATTGTATAGTGTTAGTAGCAAGCAAACGCGCGTGCGTGTGCGTGTGTGTCTCCTCCGGTAAAATATGCGTCTCCTGGCGGTTTAAAAAAAAAAAAACAGATTGATGGGCGCAAAAGCACCGCAGAAACGCATCTCGCTGTAAAACTGACACAATTAACTATTTAAAATATTTATGCGATTTTATTTTATGACACCCCCCCCCCCCTTTTTGTAAGCAGGAAACTTGACCCTGAAGTGGAACGACGTGTGGCGGTTGCCTACCGTGATCGGTTGGGGAGGGGGAGGATGGTTACACTGTATTATAAAAAGTCTTGCCATTTTACACTCATCATTTCGTTCGTGGTGTGGCACTCCAGAGCAGTAGTGTTGTGTTACAGAGTAGATTGTAGTTAGGAAAGTAGGGGGGGGGGTAGAGGTGGGTGGTGTGGGTGGTGCGGGTGGGGGCGCTATTTTAAAATCCCACCACCCACTCCCACACCCACCCGTGCCTTTACCTCCACCCGCAACCTCCGATTAGCACGGTTGGCTATGCACGGTCCGAAAGAAGTTCAGCGTGCGTATCCGTACATTCAGTGTAGTAACTCGGCACGTAATTGCACGAATGAATTTTAATGCGTCGGCTTGGAAACGTGACGTTTTTAACAACAAAAAACACCGAGGGTGTTCCGATGAAGTGAATTGACGGCAGTATTTCTTCTCTCATCCACCGACGTTTTTGCACGCAAGTTTTTGCACGCAAGTTTGATTTTCCACCTTGAAAAAAAAAATCTTAATGAGATCTCCGCTTAAATTCCACATTAACCCCCTCCTCTGAGTGGCGTGCAGATGGTGGGAGAGTTATCGTGGTTTTTTTTTCGTAGTTTTTTACATATATATTATTTTAAATTAACGCTTACTCGTAGAGTTATTAGTCGACACTTACGTAAAAATCAAATTTCTTCGTTGCGTACGTCATTTTGTTACTCTCGAAAAGACGCGCGGCGTCGTGCCGCGCTGGTTGTCAGCCTTTGCCCGCCAGACGAAAACGGGGCTTCTGTAAGTGGCGCATGACGGTAATCGGTGGTTTCGTGGGTTATGTAACTGTGATGTAAACGTACCTGTCGCTCGCCGACAGACAGACAGGCGAAACCGTGTGGGTTTTCTGGAGAGCGTGTTTGGTATGGATGGTGTGGGCTTATTGACGTGACACTGTGGTTGTGGTTTCACCAGCTGCTTGTTTTAGGCCAGCAAACCCATGCTGTTTAGAACCCCCCCCCCCCCCCCGGAATGTGCTTGTTCCGGAATGTGTGTGTTTTAAGGGTGCTGCGTACAGTGCAAGGACCACTTAGAGAATACAGGTTCTCTTTAAAGATGAAAATTCACCAGAATGATAGTGTTCACGCATGATATTTGAAACAAGCTTTTTGATGTATTGATTTTATTTAAATTATCTGTGCATGCACAATTCACTCCACTGCTGGACTGGAGCCCTCCCCGCAACACGTGGTTCGTGGGGGGCCTATTTGTCCACACTTGATGTTGGTCAGCGAGGGTTGGCGAATGCGGGGAGCATAACCATTGGGGCATAGTGCAGTACAACAATGGAAGTTGTTGCACTGCCCTCTGCTATCCATATTGTGGCCTCACAGCAGACCCAGGATACCCGATCCATGCATGGTGATCGCCCATCCAAGCACTAACCAGATTCAAATCCTGCTTAGCTGCTAAAATCGCATGAGATCAGCTGCATTCCTAGTGATTTGGTCACCGGATTAATTGTTTTGTTGTCAGCCCCCCCCCCCGCACCTCCAATTAGCACAGGTGCGAAATAAGTTCAACATGCATCTAAATATTTGGCTTTTGCAACAACTACAACAAGATTATTCCAATAACACGCAAGCCAATATGTCAAAAGAACTCCTGTACTCGTGGAATCTTCTGTTGTTGCCGACCAACAGTTCCGCTAATGCGCACACACGTGAACTGACCGTATTATTTATTCCACCGTGAGCCAGCCGATTAAGATAACACTTTTCAAGATGAAAGGAAGGAACCCCCTCCGATTTATTAACCGTTCTGTGCAATTATGTCGTCGGTCGCTTGGCCGATAATGTCTCCCGAGTGGCGGGCGGGCGGGCGGTGGGGGCGTCGTGATGGATTTGTTGACGCTTTGACAGTTCAGCGTTTTTTGAAGGCCCCCGACCCACCTTTCGCCGGCCCCACCACCGATGAAGGTCTCTCGGACGGCGGGGGGGGGGGCACGGCGTTTGTATCAACACCACGGTTGGAGATCCGCCATTCCCTCGCCGCTTCGTCGTAACGTCGCGTCACGTCGCTGCATTGGCAAGTTGTTTAAACCGCGATCCCCGCGTGAAGTTTGCAACGTTGAGGCGGTGGCCCCTCCAATTGCCGGTCCAATCGATTCCCCCCCCGCCACCCCCCTGCGGCTGCTGTCTGTTTACGGAACTCAGCTGCCGTTACGTCTTTCTGTTTTATCATTCGGGGGGGTTTTGTTGTTTTTGAGGGTCAACGTATTTACACGGCGCACCGAGGTGGAGGAGGAAGAATAAGAAAAAATATTAATAATCGTTAATCGCGGGACGGCTTTTGGACAACGAGGCTCTTTGTTTTCCCCGTGATAATTCACGTCGCTTAGCTCGGGTCACATTGAGCGGCGAGTTGCACACAGAAGGGGTGTTTGGTGGGGGGGGGAGCAAAGAAGTCCGTTGTGTATGTGCGCGTAGATTAGACAGGTCGGCAGGTCTTATGAGAGGTCTTATCCAGGGTGCGTGATTAGTGTGCCCCGGTTGCATTTGTGTGTTTTTGTTTTGTTTTTGTTACACTCGATAACAAACACTCCTCAACGTCGGTGAATGCAATTGCATCCCGTGTGCCCGTCGCGTCCCCATCGCCGTCGTGGTGGGTATGTGTGCGCATTCGGAGTTTAATGCAGAAAACGACGACGAAAAACTATAAAATCAAGCAATCAAGCGACCTACAGAATGTTCCGTTCACTTTTGACATTATTTTTTTATTTCGTCTGTGTGTACACGGCTACACAACAAAGACACGTGTATCAACATTGAGTCGGCGTTTTATATAGCAAATGTTCAACATGTGCACATTTGTTATAGCTTATGACCCAGTCTTTATACACGCTGTATATATATAATTATGTCATTGCAGGTTGAAAATAATTGACAAACCTTGTCATTAACTCTCCCTTATAACTAACGAATGTAGCAGCGTGTCATAAGTTGCTGTATATTTTCAGTTATAAGTGTTGACTGACGCTAATAATAACAGCAGTGGTAATGGACCTCGTCTTCTGGTTACACGCCACTGGGCAGGCAGTTTCTCAAAGAAAGACTGAACCCATGAAACAAATCGCCCGTATAGCCACACACCTCGGCTGTGCATGCCTTTTGCGGTCCCACTTAACTTGACTTTTACGCTTCATTGGTGAGTTACAAAAGGCTCTAAAAGTGACTTGCGGGTGACCCAACCCTAGGTGTGTAGCTACACGACAAGAGCCCCTCGTGGTTTGTGTCTTCACTTTAACCGAGTTCTCTGCAGTGTCTGCTGCCACTTGCTCTGCACGAAATCCATGCAGAGTATTGCCTCTATAGCAGGATTTGTGAGCAGTTTAGCCCGGCGCGCTTTTGTCGTAAGAGTCTGCGTGCATGGCTGGCGTTGAGCCAATAATGCATGTGGTATATGTGCCTATATTGTGGCACGCACAAGTACGCGCGCGTGTGTGTGTATACACGTGCGTGACGCACGTACGCCGAACACAGATGCAACTCCCCCCCCCCCCAAAAAAAAACGAATCGTTCATGTAGGCGTGTGTACCGACTCTTGCCTTGCAGGAGTCTGACCACTTCATTAATAAGAAGGAAAACAATGCTCTCAAGTTTCTAGCAAGTCCATCGCCGTAGCACTTCCGTGACATCAGTGCGCGTTGATGAAGTGTCTGATGTGACGATAGCTTGCCGCAGCGACGCACATGATCGTAACTGTGTAACTCTCTCGTGCGTGAGTTATTAGAAAACAAATTCTGATGAGATGTCGGCGGTGTGAAAGTGTTCTCGTATAACTTTATAGCAGTCGGATATCCACTTGTTTCGTAGTTGTCCCCCCCCCCCCCACATTGGACACGCATTGCACAAGAGGGTTAAAGTGTTGTTTTTTTTTTTCAATAACATTTTTTCACAACGCTACGCATTCGTATCGGACGCACAGCCTAGATATTTATGTACAAGATAAGAGCCGTTTGTGGGGTTTTTATTTAGTGTTAGGTCGCAACTTTAAAGAGACTCCGTTTGTTCGTGAGAAAAGTGTCGCTTCCGTGTTGGCTCGCACGCTCAATGAATGGCTCGATTGTGGGTGCCGTAGACGGTGGCTCTTCGCCGTCTTACCTACACGGAGCTTACCTTGTCTGCCGTACATCAACAGCAGAGACGCAGAATCGCCGCCGTCTCGCCGCGCGCATCCTCTGCTATTCCGAGCATGCATTACTAAAGGAGCCTGCTGCTGCCGGCGCTGTATATTGACAATGTAACTGTTGCCTCCACTGTCAGTATTTGTGATATCTTAATGCAGTGTTCCCCTCGACATTTCTCTAGCGACCCCACATGTGCCCCCCCCTCCCTTATTCCCCCACCCCATCTTATTTCTTCCCCGAGAAAAGTATGTCCGTCGCCCCCTGTTATTAATGGTAAACAATCAATTCACGTATATAGCTGTGTATCATATAATTACATTATATATGCATAATGATACGTGTTTGAAGTCGCTGCGTCGAGTGAAATATAAATATATAAATTTAATTTCCTCCGTGTCTCTCTGGCTTAAAAAAAAAATCTAATGTTTGTTGTACAGTTCCTCCCCGTACCCCCCCCCCCCCATATTAATAAGATCGACTCCCATGCAGGTGTGTATTGAATATGTGTGAACATAAACATCGTGTGTGCCGCTGTGTAAACGTGTTCCACGTATATCTACTGTGACTGTTCAATAAATAAATGTTATTTGCAAAACGCGGGGTTTCTTCGTCTGTGTACCTGTGTGTGTGGGGGGGGGGGGGGGAGTGGTGGGGGAGTGGTTAGCGCACTGCGCTACGAACCCGGACGAGCCAATTATTATATTCCCACTCATGGCCAACAGCAGTGACGATTATCTGAATCGGTCATGGGCCTCTCCTACGTCGACTCAGCCTTAAATGAGTACCTGGTGCGGTGTGGAGTAAACATCGTTGCCGGGGAGGCGGTGGGGCGTGGTGCTGGCCACCCACCCACTCGTGTGCAGTGCCTGCCTCGGGCAGTCATACTAACAGCAGCACTTGCTCCTGCAGTCTGTTAAGGCTATGCCGGGGGCATCTTTGGAAGTTATGTCATGGGGAATGTTCTACCATATGGTAGTTTATCCAGAGGGGCATACAGTTCCGTCGTAAATGTATTTTGTTTAACCAGGTGAGAACTCGGCATAACTCACCTGGGGCATTCGTTTATCAGGAGGGGTGGGGGCGCTAATTGCTGCTACGTATGATCACAATTTAATGATTTGCGGTATCATTTTCCCATTTGGAAATGTTTGAGCCTGACGCTGCCACGGAAATGACCTCCCCTTGCGAATGGCGTCATGGGATATTTTCACGTTCACGATGCAGCAGACCCGTTGTGGTTATTGCACACCGCAGTAAAAATCGGGGCAGCCGCTGCATTCGAACCGTGAATCTCTGCAACAAGCGGTGAACACACTGCCGCCATTCGGCCACGTTACCTCCCCTCCCAAATATGGGGCCGTCCATAAATGACGTCACGCGATTTTAGACGATTTTTGACCCCCCCCCCCCGTCGTAACACGGCGTCGCAAAAAGTCAGACCCCCCCCCCTCAAATATGACGTCACAAAGCTCTGCCCCCCCCAAAAAAATATATTAAAAAATGCTTCAAATCGCTTTAAACTATTGTCATTGTAGTGCGTATTTAATGTGGCGCTGCACTCTGATGTTGTAGCAGAAAACATTTATTTAAAAGTCTAATTAAGTAGAACGTGTTTTCTATATTTATTTAAAGTTGCGCATTTTGATGTGACGTCACATTTCTCACCCCCCCCCCCTCGTCACAGATGTCTGACCCTCCCACCCCCTAGGTGCGTGACGTCATTTATGGACGGTCCCTATGACAACGGTCTTTGCAGTTGACCACAAATAGTCGAATATAAACTACAACTATAAAAAAAAGTTTGTATTTTACCAGGTGAGGCCCACTGAGCTATGGAGCATTTTTTTCAGAAACAAATTGGCCACAAATGACAGCTCAACGAAGTGGCTTATCACGTGGACATTTTTTTTTTATAGCAGCCGAATACTCTAAACGCGTGATGGTGATTCTAAATGTGGAGGGAAAGCCCGGAGCAAAATACACGGGGAGAGAGACACGCAAACTCCAAGCATAAAGCAGGCGTCAAGGGTCGGGGTTGAACCCACGACCTCCTGTACACCAGGCGAGGTAGTTCACACCTCTGTGCCAAAGAAAGAGATACGAACATCGGGATGTATTTCCATCTGGCCCTGTCTGAATCAGCGACCCAGTGAAAGCCACATGTTTGCACCCGGCACACCACATCGGGACATCATCCGTGTGTCAAATTACCACGTTGCAAGATGCACACTGCAGCAAGCACGGCTCACACCCTTACGCCGCATCCGCTGTTGCTTCTTGTTTTTTTGTCGCACCGCGACCGCTGGCTCCATTAATGCGTCCGCGAAATGGTACAGCAGCAGCAGCGACGGTTGTTGTTGTTGGAATCAATTCAGGGGCGGTCAACGGAAGCGAACATCATATTCCACAAACACCTCTCTCGTTCCCATGGCTACTACGCAAGCCACGTCGCCTCGTCCGTCCCTTTACAATAATTGGCACCGCCGCAGAAAATGAAATCCATTTGGTGGCGAGCAGCAGACGATGTCCAACACGCGCGTGCGAAATGGGGCAGCTCTGGAAAAGGGGAGGGGGTGGGGAGGGTGTTGCTTTTTCTCCATTCTGGAAGCCACAAAAACTAAAAAGCACAGACGAGCGGATGTGATGTTGCTGTAGCGGATGATGACAACGACGAGAATGCAAACCCCCGGTGTGGCCTTTACCAGACTGTTGGGGTCAAGTGCTCTTATATCGAGCACCTATGAAGACCGGAACGGCACGCCAAGGGGGTGGGTGGTCAGCACAAACAGCCCGGCTGCCTTTGTCTCCCTAGATACTCATTTAAGGCAATGTCGACATTGGGGGGGGGGGATGGAGAGTGGGGGGCATGACCGGTTCAGATATTCGATGTAGGCTATGAGCGGGAATCGAACTCTGGTCACGATGGTTCGTAGCGCAGTGCGCGAACCACCGGATTGCCGCTCTCCCATCCTGCAACAGCTGAGACTCATCAGGAACGTGGCTCGGCAATTTTCTTTCTTCCTCCAAATCGATTTTTTTTTTGTCGAGCTGCCAATTTGTCATGACAAATATGCCAAGGCCGTCATTTCGTGAGACGGAGAATCCGTCGAGAAGTATCGCTCAGCGTGTTCGACCGAGAACGCCTGACGGAACCAAACAAAACAGGGATATTTGCACAGGGTTGGTGTACGGTGATTTTTCTGCAATATTTTGCTGTCTTTTCTTGGATTTTCTGTTTGCACATAATCACTTTAAGATGTTTTCTTGTTCATGTTTTTGTTTGTTGAGGTTGCACCCGATTCAAGAGCCGAATGGCTCACATGGCTATTACCTAATAAATGAACTTTGAACTGAACTACTTCTGAGATTCCCATCAAATGTATCCATCCACTAGGGGGCCCACTATCCCACCCACAAGTGCTGTTGCTGCTGTTGTTGTTGTGCAAGTCAACCCGATAGAGTTCAGGCGCTAAGTCACCAACTCGCGTATTCGAGTCAACGCGGTATTTTTGTTCAATTGAAGAAGAATGTTTACGAAGCTCAGCGAAAAGCCGAAATGCAACGTGACGGGTGGTTGTTAATTGGTTTTTACCCTTCTATCTGGCAACAAAACTGACACCCTTATTTTACAAGGAGTCATGTTTGCATAGACCACAATACCTGCAGCCATAATACAAACACATGGGTTGGACCAGATGCGCCTTTTGGCGTCATCTGGTCCAACCCATGTGAGACTAGGCTCTAAGGAAAGCTGTCTCGGGTGTGGACCAATCAACTTCAAGGACAGTGCATATATTATCAGAGTTATGTTTGCATTATGGCTGCAGGTATTGTAGGTCTATGCAAACATGACTCCTTGTAAAAAAAAAAGGTGTCAGTTTTGTTGCCAGATAGAAGGGTAAAAAACCAATTATCATATTTTTTACTGCCAAATGAGGTACCAATGGGGTGTTGTTGTCGTTATTGGTCACCAGGGCTGAGACCGTCAAGCCGCGACACCTGAAGATCCGGTTTAGCACTCAAGCATGGCCGCAACTCCGGATTATTACCAAATCTAAATTATGACAAAATAGTTTAATTGAAACACAAAGTACGAAGAGTTGAAAGGGGATAAGCCGTTCCTCTTTGCAGGTACACACAAAGCGGACGATTGCGAGCGGTGTTTATTCACCGTGTGCCCGTAGCAGAGATCGCAACCGGGTACACGATACCCGTACCCTACCCGATACCGGCTACCCGTACCCGGCCGGGTACGGGTACCCGTTTGCGACCCTGGTGCGGCCGGGTACGGGTAGACCGTGAGTCACTGGTGAGTAACCGTTTGTCACTCATTTCCCAACGTCTTGTCTCTTCTCACAATTAAAGTTCCTAGAATCAACCCACCCGCGCCTGCAACATGGCTTCATCCCAGAGGTCGCAATCAGGTACCCGATACCCGTACCCTACCCGTACCCGGCCGGGTACGGGTAGGGTACGGGTACCCGTTTGCGACCCTGGTGCGGCCGGATACGGGTACGGGTAGGGAATCAAAACCCGTTTGCGACCTCTGGCCCGTAGGCACTTTCCACCCTTCCCCCCACGTGCGTTTGATTCGTGTCGCAGCTGACGCGGGCATTGATCGATCGACACTGCATGGCCATAAACGTAGGAGCGCGTGGGATTCGAGAGCCCGCATGCGAATTGGAGAGACCAGTCATCTTTCGATGTAAAGCTTTCGTGACTGCAGGGATTCATCTTCTTGATTCTTTCGGTAAAGTCACGTAGAAGAAAAAAAACGTAATTCAATATTTTATTACGTTTTAATTTTTATTTTTATTATTTATTATTTCCATTCTACGTGACTTTTCCGAAAGAACCAAGAAGATGAAGAGCAGTCATCATCACGACTTCGTGGGACAAAGTTAGGCTCGGGCAGCCCACGCTGGGAGTGAGACAGAACGCGGCAGAGACGTTTCAGGGAGTTACAGCAGCACGGGAGTGGAACTCGCGTGGGGGGCCGGGGGGGGGCTACCTTGGCCCCTATCTCCCCTGGTGTCCAGAGCTACGAGTTGAGGCCCACCCATCATCACGAGATATGTTTTCAACAACAGTGTAAAATAAGAAAGTAATTTAAAACGCGGTATATGTGTATTGTTTTGTTTACGGAATGGCTTTCATTACGTTCCACGTTTTTATTTAATTGAATGAGAGCCGGTCACGTTTGCGAACCGTGCGAGACAAAATCAAATATTGGAGGGGGGGCAACTGGCCGATTGCCGCACCCCCTGAAGCTGACCGTCGTTGTTGTCTACGCGCCCTGCAACAGCAGACGCGGTGTGCAGGGGCGAGATTTTGAGAATGCATTTTTGGTTTGCTACACGGGATGGTTGGGTGGGGGGGGCCGTTGAAACCAGTTGCTGCACGGCTGTTTTACACGGGGGGGGGGGGGGGTCCGTGCGTGCGCGGTGCGTGAGCACAACAGCAGCAGAAAGACAGTGGCACGGGAAAAGTCTGCATCCAGCAGTGGATAGACCACGGCTGACGGCGACGATGAAGAGCCCATTGCTTGCACAAGGCGCCCTTGTTTTAGCGGAGTCCCTTTTCTACGCAATCAAAAACGGCATCATCATCTGCCATGTTCTATCCACTGCTGGGTGAAGCTCTACCTCCCCGCCCCCCCCAACAATCCGTAGCCACCTCAGCCGCAATCTATCGAGTCCAGAGCGGCAGAGTAAACAAATGCACGGGGACTCTCCGGTGCTCGATTTAAAGCAGGTCGCGAGCACTCGACGAGAATGCCGAGTTTCAAACAGCGAAACTCCTCCAGCCAGGCGCATTTGACCTCCGTCGTCGTGGGACGCGTTGAGGATGCGACTCGGCCACGGTGACCACGCGAGCAGCAACAACGCGGGCGAGCAAAGCGCGAGGACGACGATGACTTGCGTCGTGATCCAGGTTTGCGCCGATTCCACTTTCGGTAACCGGTTATAGCGGCCACTGGTGACTGCAGAGGACACGCCAACAGCCGGTCGCGTCGGCCAACGGCGTGTGTGTACGTACGTCGCACTTGAGGTTACAGCGTGGTGGGTGCATCTACCAGTGGTCATCTCAGTCAGCACAACCCATGGCATCTGCTGGGTCTGTCCCGTGACCTCCTGCACCAAGCCTGGTACAGCAGGGGGCACACATATGGTGGGTGCATCTACCGGTCATCTCAGTTAGCACAACCCATGGCACCTGCTGGGTCTGTCCCGAGACTTCCTGCCAGCAGCGAGCCTTCCGACACTTCACGAGGCCTCAAGGTGCACATGGCCTGGCACAGGCAACCGCGGTGACGTCACCGTCGCTTAGTGGTATTAGTACGTCGGATTTCTTTCTGCCTGCCGTGCTAATCGAAGGTGCGGGGGAAGGACAGCAATGGGCAATTAAACCTGTGGCCAAATCACCTGGAACGCAGCTAATCTCATCCTTGGATGTATGTTAATGTATGCTATAAGCATACCTGATTCCAATGCATGTATCGAGAGAGTATAATCATCTGCATCGATTAATCGATGCGTTGTTAGTAAAGCACATAGGGCAAGGCTATGGGTGTGTAGTTTTATCGCCATATAAAGAAACTGTAGAGTATGCACTACTCTACGAATACAGCGACCTGAGTTTGATTCTCAGTCAGCCCCCACACCCGCGCACCAACCCCTCGCAAAATCCGCACGCACCAGCGTGGTGAAGTATGGTCAACAACCCCCCATGACCGACACGAGGTGGGAGGGGCCGGCGGGGGGAGGAGGTCTGTCTTCATCCAGCAGTCGACCTTGACAAAGCGCTCCATGTAGATGACCAAGATGAACCGATGTAAATTATAATGATGTCAATTCTGCAAGAGTTGTAAAGCTGAAATTACGCACACAATGTACACGTTTATTCTTATAACGAATACCAAGAAAAACACTTGCCCCCCCCCCCCTTACAATTACGGAGTTGGAGGTCGATTCGTGAACGCTGAACAACAACACGACAAACACAACCACTGCACTCGAGTAAGTCGCCTCTAGGGGAGAAATGACGTTGACGACGATTAAAGATGAATTCCAACTTCACCGGGTTGTTGTTGGTGTTGTTCGCAGGCCGATTGCTGCTCGATGTCGACACACGAGCGAGTGAGTGCCTTGTGTTGTGAGCGCCGCAGTGCCCGTGACCGGCAATTCTGATCAAGTCTGTAAACGTGATTTTGCTGTTGTGTGGATATCCAGGGTTCGAACCCGTACACTCGGACGGCTCCGGTCTTCCACGTGATGATGCTGTTGTTGTTATTGGCTCTCTGTCCCTCTCTCTTTCTCTCCCTCTCGCTTGTACGTGCATGTTATGATGTCATAGATTAAAAACAAGCAATATATTGGCATTTGTTTAACTGCGGGACAGAACAGTGCGTATAATTGCCCCATAGGCGGAGTTTGACTTCTATATTTGGGGGGGGGGGGGCAATGAGGTTCGCGTATCCCTTTTTAGCGCTGATTCGATTCGCGCTCACGTCTTCGGGAAGAGCGCATCTTGCACGCTAAGCGAGGTCTGCCTGTATCGGCGACGTACGGAGAGGTGTGGGCGCAGCAACTTGATAGGAGGTCAGATAGGGGGGCGGCGAGGTAGGCAGAGCGGACACGCAAACCCCTGGGTAACAAAACCAGATGCGCGCCGCGCGCTTTCAGGTGCGCCACTGCGGCCGTCTGGAACGTTCTTCCTTTGAGATATTTGGAAGCCACTGTGGAGCTTTGCACTTTTAAATCATCATCTATAGATTGACGAACTCGCGTCTTTAGAACTGCTTTTTGTGCTCAGGTTGTTGTCCTTCCCCCGCACCTCCGATGAGCACGGTCGGCTACGTACGGTGCGAAAGAAGTTCCACATACAGAGAGGGTGGGGAGGGTGTCGGGAAGGAGCGGTGTAGGAGCGGTTAGCGCTACGCTGCGCTACGAACCCAGGCGACCAGATTTCAATTCCCGCCCGCGACACCAGTGGAGATCATCTGTACCGGGTCCTGGGCCTCCCCTAGGTCGACTCAGCCTAAAATGAGTACCTTGGTGCGTTGTGTAAACATCGCCACTGGGGAGACAAAGGCGGCCGGGCGTAAGTACTGGCCACCCACCCCCTCGTGTACCACAGTTGCCGGCCTTCATAGGTGCTGCTCGCTAACCGCCACTTGCCCCAATAGCCTGTCGACGCTATACGGGGGATCTTTGTCTTTGTAGGGAGGGAGGGGGAGAGAGATGCTGTGAGTGGAGGTGGTGGCTACTGTGGGAGGAGGGACGGAGAGGGTGGGGGGGGCGACCCTGGGCCGCTGTCAACGCGGGGGGGGGTGGGAGGGGAGGAGGCGGAGTGAATGTTCGGCCTCGGCTCTGGGTAACAAAACAGCAACGCGTTGGCTGGATGCTAGTCAGTGCATTCCTCGGCAGTGTTCCTGAGATTGCTACTGAATGCTTCTCCTCTCCACGTATTGCCACATCGATGCATGCAACGTTTCGCCATCGGTTTAAATTAGTTCAGCAAGCTAAAGGAGGCGGGCAATTACTGACGAGTAGGCGCTGTAATTATAAACGTGCGCGTGCGTGCGTGAGTGCGTTCAAAGACACGCGCGCGCATCATTGACACCGTCCGTGTTGTAATTCACTGGTGCGTTGTGGGTTATAGAGTTGGTAACCAAGAGGGACGATTCGCGCTGAAGGTAATCAGATCCGCGTAGAGCTGTAGCCACTCAGGACATCACTGAGAGAGAGAGATCCCCAGTGCGAGGAGAGGCGAGGATACATCATATACCAGTGAGTGAGTGTGAGTGAGTCGAGTTGAACGAAGCGCGTCTGCGCTGCGTCGTCATCGTTTCTTCTTCGTCTTGTGGAAGTCGGAAGACGGGAGAGACATGGCCACGGTGGTTGAAAAGAAAAGGCAAGTGATTATTCATCGTCTTATATCGTGGTGGTGGTGGTGTTGACGTCTTAATATGCAGTTGAGCGGCGGGCGCAGTGATCAGTGCACGGTGTGTGTTGCTTCGAATGTGGAATCGCCGAGGTTCTGATTTCCGGCCACGGTTCAACATTCGTGATGAGTGATGCTGGCTTGACCGGTTCTGCCGCACTGACCGCATAGTGGTGAAGTATGGTCAAACAACACCCGTGACGGGCACGGGCATGGGGGAAAGCCTTCATCCAGCAGTGGATTTACAAAGGGGCTGTAAATGAGTGTTGCTGTTATTTGCATAAAGTGCTGTAATGTATTTACCCAGCAAAGCCTCACTGGGTCTCAAGGCTCGTTCTGGAAGGGTACTGCTACATGGACACATTTGGCTCATACACCTGGGTGCCTCGTACGTACAGCTCCGCACAGATGGATTCTATAATCCATCGCTGTACTACCATCTCGTGGCAAACCTCGAAGCCCATCGCCGAAATATTTCGGTATTCCTCGGCGGTCTCCAATGCAAGTGCTAACCAGGCTGACAGCGGCTTAGCTTCTGAAATCCGTCCGATTTTGTTTTAGTATCGGATCGAGCATTAACGACTGTGGAAATGGATATAGCCCACATCTGCTACTCATCATAATCATCATCATCATGTGTGAGTTGTCGGAATGCGAATGGTCGCTTTACGTTTTTGTTGTCGTGATCTCTCTCTCTACTGTAATACATACGGAACTTATTTGTTCGTAGTGGCCAGATAATGCAGAATGTTCTATCCAGTTAATTGGACGAGCGCAACGATGGAGGGTGGGTGGGGGGGGGGCAGTTGGGGGTCTCGGTCGGTATTGGTTCGTGTGACTGAAAACACGACAGCGGCCCAAGGCATCTCACCGCCCGCAGGCAATCTATCCCTAAACACGCCGAGGGAGCTCTATTGAGATGCACTGACCCCCCCCAAGGTCAGCACTGACCCCCAATGTCAGTGCTTCTTCACCTGGGGTGCATCACGCGAGATGCCCTTTCTGGGGGATGCGAGACATGGGAAGATTTTTATTTTTTTTAGAAGGTAAATCGTCAAAAAACATAAATTAAACACGGGCACATAAGTAGAGCTACTTTGTTTTAATCAAACCCTATGTGTGTATTAACATTATACATGTTTTGTTACTCGATTGAGAAGCACGCTGCTGTGAAGGTTCAGAACCACCGCCGTAGGTCGACTCATCCGACAACGGATAAGTTTGCGTTGAGGTGCAACGTCATTCCCAATGGGTACTTGTGCAAGCTGGAGCATTACTTGACTGACTAACCGACCGACGTCAGCTGGCGTCAGCTCTCGCAAGCTAAGCAGGGACTTTGCGCCTGGGCCGTGCTTGGGATGGATGCGCACAGGTGCACAGGGCAGGTGACCTACACGTCGGGTGACCCTGTTGTACTGTAAAATCTGTGCTCCCTCGCCTTCACCGGCCCGCACTGACCAGCGTGCTGGTGAAGTGTGGTCAAATACATTCGTTGGATCTTTCGGCAAAAGTCACGTAGATTGGAAAAATAAAAGTAAATAAGAAATAATAAAAACTACGACGTTTTTTTTCTTCTCCTGATGACGATCGCTTGTTTTGTGATCGAAACGTCCTAGTATTTTTTATCTACTTTATTTTTTCTATCTACAGTGACTTTACCGAAAGATCCGAAGAATATGAATTGCTGCAGTCACGAAGGTTTTAAGTCAAAATGTATGGTCAAATATCACCCACGGCCCGCAAGGTGGTTACTTCAATCAGCTGTGTGCGTGTGAAGCCGGCGTGGTGCTGCTGGTAAACCCGCTCCCTCGCGTGCTGTAAGAGCCTTCATCGGTGCTGCTACTCGCTAACAGCACTCGCCCTAACAACCTGTTAAGGTTATATGTGTGTGGGGTGGTCTATTGTCTTTTATACTCGGAACCGGCAGCCTCGTCCGCTTTCTACTGGCTTTAACGTCACACCCCACGGGAGGCGAATTACTCGGTTCACTGGTGATGAGAGTCGGTCTCCATGTGTGTTTCGCATAAGAATCAGACCAACGTAGAACTCTGATGCTGATCCCTTGCCGTGCGAGTGAAACCAAATCCAACTGGCTCGCTGTAATTTTTGTGAACTCAATTTCGAAAATGTAGTTAATCGGATTGTTTTTATTCCTCCAAGTTGTATTTAAGCTTAGTCGACTGCAGTGCATTTGTCCAAAAGTGCACCTCTTTGCCAGCCCTTGTAGAACATTAGACATCGCATCTGTCACGATAGGCGATGCGATTACAAGACGCGGTTAAATATTGTACTCGTTTGGGAGTGGGTTTTTTTTTTACAATCTGCGCGTTTTTAGGAAATACGTTATTCTGCTTCGCCATTCTAGAACACCGTGCGAACTTACCCCAGTCACATGTTCGTCGATTGTGTATTCCATGTCACGTCATAGCAATGAGCCGATTATTGTTAGTGAGCACCTATTAAGGCCAGCACGGTGCGCAGTATGTAAGTGCTGCCGGTGTGGCCAGCACAGGTTCCGAATTACTTTCTGCTCATGTGAGCGTTGAGCAGTAATCGAACCAAGGTCGCTAATTATTATTACTGCTACCACGGAAGTGCGTCAACCACTATGCCACCGCTCCCTAAAGTAAGTTCAAACCCACACAGCCAAAGCTCCCACGAGACGAGCGAGCAAGGATGTTCACAAAGCGTTGCATCACTTCGCATGCAATCGGAGATGTTGAATTCCTTGCCTGTCTGTTCACTGGAATCTTCTCGCACGTGGGTTGCGGGCGGGAGAAGATGCATACCAATGAGACGGTCGGGGTAGATCAGGGGTCAGACAGAGAGCGCTGCGCCACGGCACTGGCGAGATTCAGGGTTTGATTCTGAGCTGGGAAGCCGCCAAAATGCGACGAAATCGGATTTTCAAGTTCAGCAAGTTTGATGGTCTCAGCACGATCACTAAAAAACATTGCGCACAGCATAAACTAGACGCAATTTTTTTGTTTTGTGATTTTTTTTGTTACTTCAATTAGATACATTCCATTTCTGAGAATAAAAACTATCGGCGTGTCTGCCATGTGATGGGCATTTCTCTGCTGCAGAGCGCGTGATAAGTGTTTTGGATTAAACAAACATCACTTGAATGGATCTCATAATGATTTATCTGCTTCTGCATTTGGTTTTCTAAAATGTTTGGACGCACTGCTCTCTACAAGACCAGAATGGTCAACCAACCCCTATGACTGATTACGCTTAGGGGAGTGGAGGCCGGGGGCTTCCATCCAGCAGTGGAATCAACAAGGTCTGTAAAACACACAAAGCGTGCCTTCGAAAAGCACCGAGTAAAGGTGGAATTTACATAAGTTGCGCTTGTGTGCATGTCTTAAAAAAACGCACACCGATGACCATTGATGCACATAACTTTGAAAATCGCATCCTCTAACGGGGTTTCCCCTCCCTCCCCCCCCCAAATTGAGATGCGGCGTGTAACACGCGAGTTGATGTATCAATGGAAACGTTAGCCACGGTTGACACCAGGCGTGTGGTACCTGCACTCCGAGACCTGTCTGGCGAGTAATTTTCAGTAATTTTCCACAGTGGTCGGGGGTGGGGTGGGTGGTGGTGGTGGTGGTGGGGTGTTGACGGACTGACAGTATTAGTGGACTGTATTGCTGAACTCCTTTCGCAAGCGGTCGGAGCCCACCCGTGATGATCTGAGAAGACAAAAAAACGAAAGCGAATAACCCTGGCAGCGCTTTGCAGGGCGTGAGACCCCCCCCCCCCTATCACCGAGTCTTTTCCAGTTTCCTGGTGAGACTGACCAGTAGCCTAAGCCAATAACGAGATGGACACGGGATGCGGTGGTGTGCTGGGTGCGTACTTACTTTATTTATCTATCGTTCTGTTCGCTGATCCAGAGAAACCAGACAAGAATTGAGCCCGTTACCAATCCACTGTAAGATAGAGGAAGACCTATCGGCAATGGGGGGGGGGGGGGTTTGACCATACTTCACCACGTTGGCCGGTTCTGGGGTGGTGAAGGGGTGGGGTGGTGGCCCAGGGCCGGGTCCAATCGTGTTGGCCGTGGCCAGGACTCAGACTCACAAAGTCGGGTTCCTAATTCTAGATTTGAAGCTTTCGTGACTGCAAGGATTCATTCTCTTAGGTTTTTTCGGTAAAGTCACGTAGGTAAAAAATAACCCACCGCGCAATAAAAAGAATATAAGGCAACGTGAGTTGACCGAACAAAGCCAATTTGTAAGGTTTGTCACGTAAACAGAACGTGCCAATTCGTTACGAGTACAGCACACCTAATTGTCATGTTCTGTTTACGTGAGAAACCTTACTAATTGGCTGTGTCGGGTGGTGGCGGGTTTAACGACACATTTATATTTACGCGATCTAACCCAACAACAACAAAAACCCTATTTTATGGATGATATCGGTCGCGAAAACCTGCGTATTAAACTATAAAGATCCCCCATATAGCCTTAACAGACTGTAGGGGCAAGTGCTGTTAGCGAGCACCTATGAAGGCCGGAACGGTAGACGAGGGGGTTGGGTGGCCAGCACCACGCCCGACCGCCTTTGTCTCCCCAGTGGCGATGTTTACACACTTCACCAGCTACTCATTTTGAGGCTGAGTCGACCTAGGGGAGGCCCGGGACCGGCTCAGATAATCGTCCCTGGTGTTGGCCGTCAGCGGGAATCGAACCCGGGTCGCCAGGATCATAGCGCAGCGTAGCGCTAACCGCTGCACCACCGCTCACACACACACAGCCTACATCACGTGGCGACGAGCACGCCGTGGGAGCCGAGTCTTCAATTGGGGCTCCTCCGTCTGCCACTCTGACTCGGAGCTGCTGCTGTCGATACGATCTGGTCGCAACGCTGCCACCGGCTAAATCGCGGAAACATCTCTCGCTCGATGTTTCCTGCCTTTGAGAGGAGATTATCGGCGTAAGGCACCACCACCACCACGAAGA